GCAGTGACTCAGCTGCATGTGTTGACAAATGGGTATCTGCTTCCTCATCAAATACAATACAAGCCAACAAATCGAGGCTGGGGGATCCCACGCACACATGGCCTTTCCTTCATGGAGGAGACGTGGCCAGAACCCAGGACAGCTGGGATGGAGGAGCCACTGGGAAGATGCTGCTGTCTCCAGGCTTGCTGTCTCAAAGCTCCAACTCCCGCTCCCTGCAGACCTGCCCCAAACCAAGACCCAGCTGTGGCTGCTGCTGCACCGCAGCTCACTGAGCACTGCTGATGTGAGCGTGGTATCAGCATGGTGTGAGCACCTTGGGTGTGCTGGATGATGATGCACATGGAGAGCTGGATGATGCAAAAAGACTGCCAAGGTGTCACCCTCACTAACCCAACAGACGTTTAACCATCTTGCTGCCATTAATCTCAATAGACGTGAATGTCTGTGTGAGCTTTGCCACAGGTATCCAGCCTTGACCACAGCCTGCAACCTCAGCTGCACTTCTTCATTCAAGAAAGCAGCCAGTGGAGCTTTTGGCATAGGCAGCACAGTCCTGGGAGAAGGTTCCCATGCTAGCCGAGAGCCTGAGGAGGGGTCCCTGTGCACGCACTGCACGTAGGCTGCTGCTGCTGAGCTGTTCCCATGGGACACCTGAACTAGAGTTCCTTTACTCCATGCAGTGTCTCTGGCATCAACAGTGATGCTACCAGATGCTTTTGGAAACAGCAGATGAAGGGGGAATACTACTGTGTATAGCTATTCACTATCAACCAGCCTGTACAGAGTTCCTGCCTTTCTTAGCCTCTGTGAATTGCCATTTCTTCACATTTTGCTTTTAGCAGCATAAAATAGTTGGGCTTCACCTCCCTGAGCATGGTAAACTGAACGACTCAGAAACCTGCAATCTGCTTCAAAACAAAGCATTTAAAATAAAAGATATGAGCAGTAATGGAGCTATTCAGCTCAGGAGCAGAAATGCTAGAGGGTTACTCATGTACTCACAAACCTTCTAACTTTCCTTCAGCTTTTTTTAACCCCTGCGAACCTGGGGTGAGGCAGGCTGCAAGTAAGAGCTGATGTGTCATTTCAGATATGCTTCCACTCCAGCGTGCAAACCCTGGAGCTGGGAAATGGAAGAGCTCTGGTGCCAGCACCGATGACGTGGAAGGGGGAGCCAAGCTCTCACTCTGCAGCCTCCGAAGTACTCTTATTTCTGCTGGTTAAACAGATGCCAGCTTCTGAGGGGATTATGTGTCATAGAGCCTGTTGGCTGTGACAACTAATTATCTCCCACAACAGTTTAGCCTTGAGATTTTCAGCTCAAAGAGCATACCAGCGGTGCTGCCACCCAGCACTATGTGTAGCAATTTGTCCCCACTTGGGTTTCCCTGTTCCCAAAGAGGTGGCACCCCCAAAATACACTATCCTCCCCCAGCTCAGGCTCACACCAGCAGGTCCTTCCAGGCAGCACAGCAGAGAGCACCAGCACTCCAGTGAAACCTCTGAGATGCTTCCAGCAGGAACCCAGGAGAAAAAGCAGCAGCTAAAATCACCTCAGCATCCAAACAGCAGCCTGGCTGATCCTCCCATTCCCACAGCTGGGTGAATGGCACACTCCTCCAGCTGAGCTTCACAGCCTGCACACACCAACAGGGTCCAGCTCAGCTGCAGCCAAGTGCAGGGGAAGAAAATATCTGCCACAGCTTGAGTCTCTTTCTAGAATGGAGCAGCCAAAGATTTAAACAGTTTTGGAATGCAGCCTCAAAACTACCACTGAAAATGTTCTGTAACTTCATATAAATCAATGGGTGACCCCCATTGAGACTCCCAGGAACAGATGAAAAGAAGACCCAGACAAATGAAAAAAATTAAGTCATTGAGAAACACACAGGGGGCTGGAAAAGACTTAGAGATGAGGAAAGAGATGAAGAGAGGAGTTAACAGAAAAGGTAAAGGGTGTATAGGCAAGCAGGTACTAGAGCTGGGGTGCCCAGCAGCCAAGCTGGAGGAGTTGGTGTGGGAGTGACATCAAGGCTCTAGACTTGCAGAGCTCAGTTCACCTGCAGCCAGAAAAGGTTGAGTACCGGGAGTACTGAGTATTCCTCTGCCAAGCACCAGTTAAGCACTGGGCAGCAGGTGCTAGAGGGCCCCCAGCTGAGGTTCCTATGGAGATATCCCAGCTGGGATCACAAACTGGATGCTATCAGGTAGGAGAGGGTAGATGGGATGGATCCTGCTTGACTCTCCCCTCTCTATCACTATCATGCTGCCCTCTGGAGAGGTTGGCAGGCTGCACCAGCTTCCCCAAAGCCCAGATCCCCAAGAGGACTTGGGTGAAGCCAGACATGAGGCTGCATCACAAGGGAAGGGAGGCAAGGTTTTCCAAGCCTCAGAGCCAAGTTGAATGCAGGATCAAATCAAATCTGGAGTTGACTTGCTGTCAGGCACCCAAGGGGAATGCTGTGTGGAAGAACCATGGACTGGGCACACTGTAGTTAGAGTGAGAATGCCCTGAAATCCCAGCACACAAACAGGTTTTAGGTGATGCTGCCATTCACCAGCAAATCATCGCAGATTGAGAGCAACAATTACAGTAATGAGCTTCTCCATCACTGCACTGCTGAGGACCTGAGTCCTTTGGCTGGTTTGCAGTAAATTTCTTCATTTGCTGCACTCCCAGCATAAAAGGAAAATCTCAAAAGCAAGAATAGTTAATGGGGAACATTAAATTGAAGAGAGTTGGGTCATCAGAAAATGGAGATGGAGGAAGTGATAAAGGACTTCAGGACTTCAGGAGCTGCAAGAGGAAAAGAAAATCCCCTCTCTTACACCTCAACTTTTTAATATCACCTTAAAGTACTCTGTTCCTGAGGACAGAGGAGAGCCTGAGTCTCTGAATACCAGCACTGCAGAGCTGCCTTGGTCTGCAGGGCTCTGTGAAGAGGTGCAGCTGTCTCTTAAATAACTGGAGTTGACACCAGTTGTGAATAGATGAGTGATGGTGGCTTCAGCCATCACAGCCAAGGATCTGATTTCAAATGAAGCCCCATTCATCCATCCAGTGCCCATCACAGAGTTATTAAAGGAGCATCTGTCACAAAACCACAATGCCTTTAAATGCTTGAAAAAGGGCACAACAAAAATAAGCCTGCTTAGCTTATATACTTTCCTCTGGGTGACGTGATTCTTGGAACTGTTTAGAAAAATAAATGATAAATATGATGAGTAGGGAAAATATGTGATCCGAGCAGGGTGAGGTTTGTCTTTGACCTTAGTGTAGAGTTTGTCTGTCTGTTTGTTGTTCCAGGCTTGTGGGGTAGGCATGAGAGACAGTGGCAGGGAGTTTTTCTGGGTAGCAGAGTGCACAGCCCCAGCTCACCAGGTGTCTCTGGCTCAGCGTACTCCCTCCAGGACACAAATGCATTCCTGGTTTGGATGCAGCAGGGATATCATCTCCAGCAGCAGGCCAGGGCCTAGTTCAGGCCAAATGGGATGTGCTATGGCAAGGCAAATGAGGGGAGTTGGATTGGTTACTCATCGGGACTAAAACCATGTTCTGTGTTTTAAAAAAATTGCATTTAGCTAAATGGAAAGTCATGCATAGACATCATGGTTGTCTTCAGTGAATGGTTCCAGCTTATACCATTTCACACTCACCAGCAAACTCTCACCTGAGACAACAAAGTCTTTTCTTTCTCTGTGCAGCTGCTTGTACTACTTTTTATTCTCTGCCTATTACATTGGGCAAAACTGCCATCTTCTGGCATCTGAATAGGTGCCCTCCTGTCCTGCCACCAACAGATCACCTCCTGCCCCACTGCTTCTCTGGGTGACATCCAGGCGCAGGGATCAAAGGAAAAGATCATTGTTCATGCACAGACATGCTCTGTTATATCCACAATATATTGAAAGCATCTCAGAGCATTAGATTGATGCTCCTGGGGCTAGAGGTGGGCATTTATGCCTTGTAATGCACATCAAACCCCTTTTAAGAGAAACTAAGAGTGTTTGCATGCAGGCTTAATGGTGGTGAGAAAGACTGAGGTGTGTGATGCAGGCCTGTGTTTATAATTCATATTAAATGGTAATCCAAATTCCTCTTTTCTTTATATATATATATATATTTTTTTAATGTCTTGAACGTGGATGGAAAACTGGAATGTGGTCATATGTGCAAAGATGTTGGGTTCCTCTACACAAACGTTTCATGCAAAAAGACAGGACTTCCTTCCCCAAGTTTCAGCCTAGGGAGACATTGCCTGTGTTCATAGATTTTAAGTTTAAAGCAGAATAAAGTTACATGTTTTAAACTGTCCAAGAATTTAGAGATTTAGAAGCTAAATTTCCTCTCTGTTCCCCCAAAGCCCCAGGTTGTGCTCCCAGATTATGAGCCTTTAAGTGGAGTCCTGGATTCTTTCCAAGAGCTGCATCTCCTGCCCTATGCTGGATTTTGAACTGAAGCAGCAACTCACCTGTGCAGATTCATCTCCCTTCATTTGAGCTGACTGAAAGCAAGGCATGGCATGTTCCTCCCTCCCTTCCCAGCACAGAGAGAGGCATGTCCAAAGGGGACTCAACCTGTATGTTTTGGGAGCAAGACCTGTATGCTCCAACCTCTTGTCTGAATAAACCCTTGCAGAAAAAGGTGTGTGTACAGGATCCAGAACAATGGACTGATTTGGACCCTAGTTCTTCAGGGAATAAAAATACCAAGTTAATATTAAAGCTGTGTATTTTCACAGATTGCAGGCGGTACTCACAACACACCATGCTTAATTTCCTGCTTTCGGTTCCCTATCAGATTTTATGCTTAGCTTACTGATGTTTATTTTTCCCCAGAATAGGAATCTTTTTTTTTCCTTTAGTTACGATACATTCAGCCATGAAAAATGAGATTGAAAAAGATTAATAGGAAGCTGAAGGATTCATCTGAGATTGACAAAGATTAATGTGTGTCTTATTCTTAGCTGTTTTCTTTTTCTTTTCCCTTCTCTTAGCTACCTAGACAGCTTAGATCGAATTGGAGCTGCAGACTACCAGCCCACGGAGCAGGATATCCTCCGAACCAGGGTCAAAACAACTGGCATCGTAGAAACCCATTTCACATTCAAAAACCTCCACTTCAGGTTAGTCTAAAACTGTACAGTAAATTTCCAGAACAACTATTTATCACAGAGTTTCCCCATAGCTCCTAAAGGAGTTGTTAAATTGCTGGTTAATGCACAGACAGCTCCCACTACAGAAAGGAATGCTCCACAGCATTTTGGAGGGTCAACAATATGAAAAGTTTGGCAATCCTGTCTTGAAAGTCACTGCCTGTAAGACAGAAGCTCCTGGAAGCTTCTTCTAACCCAAACAACACCTCTTTGTTGGAATGTATAAGACAAGATTGACCCCCAAATCTGATCAAGGCTCATAAACATAAAAATATTTGGCCAGATCTTTTCTCTTAAGTGGGTCAGTCACATGTAGTTAACACAATACATTGACCCTCATGATGCCATCCAGTAGCAAGAAGAGGGTACAAAGACAGAAGGTCACACACAAACAGTATTTAGAGCATATAAAAGTCAAGAGTGTGTGGTCTCCACCTCCACAAACCCTCTGGGACTAGCACACTGCTCAAGGCTCTCCCACAAATCCCCCCGTCCCTGTCTGTAACTGCTCCTCCCAGTCCTCCTCAGCTGCAGACTCTGGAGGAGGAGACCAAGCTAGTGGTGAAAGACCCACTGCTTTGTGTTTGAAGCCTCCCAGGGCCCATGTGGTCAGAGAATGCCCAGAATGCTAAAGTTCCCTGGTAACTAGGGAGGAGTGGGTGGTGATGGTTCCCCCCTGTGCTGCAGGCTCTTCGATGTCGGGGGCCAGCGGTCAGAACGCAAGAAGTGGATTCACTGCTTTGAGGATGTCACAGCGATCATCTTCTGTGTCGCGCTGAGTGGCTACGACCAGGTCCTCCATGAAGATGAAACCACGGTGAGTCTAACTGGGTCTTGGAGGCCCCAACACCTCTTTATGGGATACTGCAAAGCCAGCAGCTCCTCAGAGATCGCCAAATGCTCCCTGGGCTGCTACAGTAATGTGCTTTTGTCCGTCGCTCCCCCTTGACTCTGAAATCCTGGGGAGATCTCTCCTCCTTCACACTCTTTGACATGAAGTCTGTGTGCCCAGGTAATGCTTCCTTACACTGGTAAAGGCATAGTGGTTTGCTTCTCCTTTCTAGCCAACCTGTGTTTTCAAAATGCATTACAGGACACTATAACCAGCTAGAGGATAGAGCTGGGAGGGCTTTAAATCAGGGAAGCAATCAGGCCATGGTGCAGAGGTGCAGGACAGCAGTGTGAGCCCGGGGCTCAGCCCAGGAATATAACTGATTTCTTCAGGCTACAGAAATCCGTTTTCCTTAGTGACAATGGAACTATTTGAGTCCTCAGGTAATTTGCTCTAGGAGAGATTTTATGACTTCCCACTGTGACATTAGGCTCAAAATACCATCTGGAAATAAAGCTGGTGAGGACCTGTGTGCTCCCTGGTATTAGAGTGCAATTAATACAAGTGACTTGAATACACAAAAAAGGATGCAGTAAGACTCATTACTATGTTCTGACCATTCATTCAATATGATGGGGATGCATGTTTTTTGGGACTAATGACAACTACTGTGGGCACCCAGTTAATGAAAAGGAATTGGAGGCCATACTCAGACTAAGTAATGATTTCATTGGTGCCCAATCTGCAGCAGCAGCATGGAGTGCTCACTCCTGCCAGCTCTGTCTCTCTGAGGCTTTTTATTCTCATACTGATAAAGATGTCAGGTTTGCAGAAAGCTGTGGATGAAGATGGAATCCAGGGAAAGATTGCTGTTAGGTGACACTTGTCTTGTCCCAAAAAGACTACGGGGTACTGTGGTTTCTAGCCTGAGCCAGGTTTATGAGCTCTAGCAAACTCTTTGATGAAATCACCTGGTTGTTTGAACCATGTTGATGCCAGAATTCTGGGTGATATTAACATTACCAGTCACAGGATTGGTAATAGCATGAAGCTGTGTCAAGGAGAAGTTTAGGCTGGAAATTAGGAAAAGGTTCTTCACCCAGAGTGTGATCAGGCACTGGAACAGGCTCACCAGGGAAGTGGTCACAGCACCAAGCCTGACAGAGTTCAAGAAGCATTTTGACAATGCTCTCAGGCACATGGTGTGACTCTTGGGGTTGTTCTGTGCAGGACCAGGAGTTAGATTGGATGGTCCTTGTGATTCTGTGATCATGACTGTGTCTCCTTCCAGACTGACTGAGACATACTACATCCTGTCATGTCCTTATTTATAATCCCCAGTTGTCTTCTTCCTCTGACCCTGGCCGTGATACATTCAAGGATGCTCAGCCCTGTAGGATTTAGTGGGAAGGAACCAAAATCTCCTGATGTGATTTGAAAAATCCAGCCATTAGCTCAACACTGTAGAGCTCTACAACTAGGCAGCAAAATCAGCCAGGAGACACACAAGAGCACAGAGGGAGAGGATGGGGACAGGGAGCAAAGCTGTGATATGAATAGAGAGTGTTCTCTAGGTATAACTTGGATCATGGCACCCAAATTGTGAAGCCAAAGACAGCTTTTAATACAGATCACTTTTGGATGCCCATCTACACAAGTCAGAGCCTGTGATTCAAAGCCATGGAGCACAAAATGGAATGGCCTGAATGCCAATGCCATTTTTAAATGTCAGCCTTAACTCTGCTCCTCTGAGCGGGAGGTTAGAGCATCTCTCCTGGGGAGAGCCCTGCCAGTGATTGTCCCTCACCCAGCACCACCTCGCAGCCAGCTCAGTCTCCCCCTTGAAGTGCCACGCTGCAGAAAATGGGATTTATGCATCTCCAACTTTCCCTTTGCAGCAGGAGAGCAGCCTGGTGCAGCTCTGGCACAGCACTGACATTTGCTTGCTATTTCAGTCCCTGTTCGCAACACATTTCGGGGGATGCTGAGCAACAGGAGGGCAGAGGCAGCTGCTGCTCATTTACACATTCGGCGTAAGTGGGGAAAGGCATTGCCACCACCACACCGGCAGGACGCCCCTGCCTAACCCAAATAAACAACCCCAAGCAAGTCCAATGCACTTAGGAAAAAACAGTGGTGTTGGATCTTGCCTGCCCTATTATATTCCCATCACAAATGGCAGGTGGAAAACGTGGAAAACCCACAGAGCCTGACGTCTCCCAGATGAATCCCCAAGCATTTGGCCCCCTCCTTGGTAATGTATTGCCTCCCCAAAAACCCAGCAGTAAAACAGCATCTCCTCAGTCAGCTGATTTGCTGTCTGCATCCGTCACATCTGCTGGCTTTAATGACGTCAATCAGCTTTTATTGCTTCTCACTTGGAAGACACAAAGAGGAGGCAGCTGAGAAAGTGAGCTGGATGCTGCTCCTCCAGCTTCATTTTCTGAGATACTACAGTCCAGGCACTTGCAGCTGTGTTGAGCCACTGAACGTTTGGGGACTGTACAGATGTCTCCATGAGTATGAAAGGACTTGTAAAGAGCTTTCATTGCTGTCATGGAGCCATGAGAGGGAGAGAGCCCAACTGCATATCAGCATCCAAACAAACCTTTCCAAAGCTGGGTGCATGTGGAGAATGGCTTTTCCTCCTGCTCTCAACACCCTGTTGTCAACGAGCACAGGATTTCACAGGTGCTTTTTGCACTTGTCTAAGTCAAACCACACTTCAGGTGGTGGAAACTGCAGTTCGGATGCAATCAGCATCATGTGGACCAGGATCAGGCTCACCTTGGTATGCTCCAGGTGAGACAGCTTGTCTCACTGAAATAAGCTCTCAAGGTTAATTTGGAATCATTTCCAAAGAGCTGGTTAAACAAGGCTGGGTGAAACACTCTGGCCTATCCCTGCCCTTAAAATTCAAACACAGCTCTATGCTTGTAAAGTTGTTTTGTGGGTTGTTGTGCTCCTTGTTTTAAAAGACTGAGCACTCATCCTCCTACAGCAGGTTCAAACAAGACTGTTGTGTTTGAAGCTGTCCCTGCTCCTTAAGGCCATGCAGTCTTTTCTAAGGGATGTGTTTTCTCTCTAATTCCCTGTCACAAAGAGCCACACAGTGGAGCTGAGTAAAGCAAGTACTTCCCTGTATCCAGATCAGAAAGACATAAAGAAAACTTTCTGCATCTGTGATTTTTAGGCCCATACACCCATAAAGATCACGCTTTTTGCAGAAACTCTTCTTCTCCTGGTTGCTTCCAACGCCTTATGCTGCTGTTGGCAGATCTAAACTGTGTCCCTGCGTGCCCAGCTCCCAGGGGAGAGGAACAAGGCATGAGAGAGATTCAAGCAATGTCTTCATCAGTCCCATTGCTGCCAGCCATAGCCCAAGCCAGAGCTCCTGTGGCAAAATGGTGCCCTCTGCCCAGCCCATCCAATGCACAAGGCACCCTCTGTGTATTACACCTGCCTGTGCCTCTGCCAAATCCTTCACAAAGAACTGCCAGGCTCTCTGCCATATTTTTACACAGTGGGAATATTCTGCTTTACGTGGCAGAACACCTCCCTGGATTATGTCTTTGCATAACAAGGCTGTTTTGTCTCATTTGTGAGTTATCTTTTTGTTTCATAAGTTGAAGTTACAGAAGGAAAAGCCTCACCTCTGTAATCTGGGAAGAGAGAGGGGCAGTCATATCACTCAGTAAAACTAGAGAAGATGATTCACAAAGGTAGATTTCCATTGTTCTTTCTAAATAGAATTCCTAATGGAATTTTTTTAAAAACAGCAATGGAATGGGATCTGCCATGGGAACTGAGACTATCCTCTGTTTTTTTACCTTACAAATTCAAAGGAGTCATGGCAAGAGAGGGAGATGTTGAAGCTGCATATTGCTGCCTCTGAAGCTTAGATATTTAGGTCAACCATATCTAGCCAAGAGATGCGAGTATTGTTTGTGTCCCCATTGCTGAGGATGGGGTGGGTGGAAGGCTCCGTACTGGTAACCCTTGGTGTGCATTAGTGTTGACCTGTTGGTTTGTATTGCACTGCATGACCTGCTTAGTGTGCTCTCTCTGCTGCCATTGGGCAAGGAAAATGGAACTGCAGTGATGAGAAATTGCTTTAGGAGTGACAAAGCAAGCCAAAGTGGCTTGGACATTTTAGGAAATAGAAGCAGGAGGGGGAATATGGAATTACTGAGCTTAGGATAACCATCAGTGTCCGTTTAGTTCGCGTGACAGCTAGCACTTAATCACCAAGGAAAACAGAAAATACTGAATCAACTGGGTGTTGCAGAAAACATCAGTTCTCCTCCCATGCTCTGGTAAAAAAAAAGATGTTTTTTTATGAGTGTGTTTCTGCTTGGACAGAGTCTTGACCACAGCATCCTTTCTCCCTCATGCTGAGTGAAAAGCTGTTTGCTCTTCACATCAGAGATGGGAACACAGGTCTGCAATGACATCTGAACTCAGCTATGAGCAATTCTGTCTCTTGTCCTGTGCAGGAAAAGTTAACTGGACTTTGAGTATGCATGGGCAAGTGGTTACTCCTCTAATATGGTTGTTTGGGCTACTTTTCTTATTGGGGTACAAAATATTTGCCTGTGTAATAAGGATTTAAAATACCAATTTTGAAATAGGAAGTGACATTAAGAAATTAATGTCTGATAGACACCTTAATGATAGACCCAACATAAAGTGAGAAAAAACAGCATGATGGGTGCAAAAGCAGGTGAAATAATTCGTGTCACTTCACCTAAAAGTATGAGGAGCATAACCTTTAGTGCCTCCTAGCAGAATAGGCACATCTGCCCCATCACAGCAGAAAGGGGCCCCAGGCAAGTTCTAAGGGACTAAACTGCTCTTCCACTGTGGATTTACTGGGAGGAGGGGAATTATTTGGAGGATTTAACTTCTCAATCCTCCTTTAGCAGCACTCCGTCCTTTTACATATGTTACCCAGACATTGTTTCCTCATCCTTGCCTCTGCACCTGGGTCTGCCTGAGCTGTTGGAGGGCTCCTACAAACATCTATTGAGCTAGTAACAGTTGGGAAGGGAAAGGGAGATAGTGAGGATTCCTGATGCTAGCCAGCACCAGGACAGCTTATGACCATGTGTAGGCTCCCAGAAGCACTCCTGGGAGGCAACAGCATGTCCCATATGGCATCCAGTTATGACAACAGAAGCATCTGTGCCTGCTCACCAGAATATTGCTCTGCACCTTTACAACACACAAAGAAAGCAATTTATGGCTTTTGAATAATGTCATCTTCTGGCTTTGGAATAATGTCATCTTCACTTTAGTGGTGGGGAAGGAAAAGGTGGATTTTAAGACAAAAACATTTCCCACATAAATGAGTGGGCAGAGTAGTTCTTTATGTTTATTTGTCTGACTGGCAAAGCTGGAGGAAAAATCAACATGTAGAGATCAGAAATCCAGGTCATACAGCTTTAGGAAGCTTTGAACCTTGTTTCTGGAATCTGAAAGGAATAGAGGTCATTTAGTGTAACCCTCATGTTGTAGTGGGATGTATTGGTTTGTGCTGTGTGTATTTGATTCTGTGATTTTTATGTTCTGGTTATCACTGAACATTAAGAGTCGCTATGTCTTGGAAAAACAGTCTTGTCTCCTAACATGCATTTAATGAAAATTGATCAGACTGGATAGGAGAAGTAAGAGGACTTCTGTAGGATCCTTACATATCTTACAACTGCAGAAAAGTCGGCTTCACCTAACCATGAAGCCCAGCTCAGAAGTCCTCTGTTTCTGTTTCTTAGACAAACCCAATGTCACCCGTGGTGCTCCCATGCCATGAAGAGCAGTTTCACCCCTCAGCTGTCCACCAGGGCTGTGCAGTGTGGTGGCCATGGCACGAGGCTGTCCAGGTGGCCTGATGGCTGCTGAGGATGAGCTGTGAGTTTAGCCCACAAGCAGCATTCCTGTGTTTCTGAACCCTTTTAGTTTAAATCAGCAAGGATGATAAAAATGTCATTTAAAATGTTCTGTGAGGGACCCTGCTTTAAAAAATGGTTAATTATATTTGCTTTCTGTTCCCCTGACCACCCTCCACTTCATTCTTTCCTCCCAAAGGCTTTGGGTATCCAAGGACCTCCTGCACAAAACCTTTGTCCACCAGGTTTCTATGTGTTACAATTTTGGCACCACAAGTAGCAGAGAGGAGCATTGCTCCAGGGGCTCCCACACCAGTCAGTACCAAATGGGTTAGCAAAAAAACGCCCACAGGCACAGGATGATCCAGATAAGCAACGTGTTGCAACTGAGACCCAATGAGCAAATGCATTTTTACGTCTTTACGTGATCGCGTCGTCCCCGTGTGTCAATACAAATGGTGGGGAAATGGGCGGTCATTCAAGACAGGGCACAGCAAATCACACGTGTCCTGTTTCACTCTGGGCTGGATCAGATGTTTCTTTCATCCACAGAGCCTCTTCTGTCTATCTAAAACATTCAGTAGACGCTAAAGCATATCAATGAAAAGGAATGTATTAACCAGTGAAGTGCTGGGCTCAATTTTATGCCAGCACAGGTGTGAAATGGAGTGGGAGAGGGGTAAAGGCCTCTGGCTGACTCATGTACCACTCCACAGTCCCAAATCTAGGGCTGGGGACAACAGGACATGCTGCACCCACCCCAAAAACCCTCCAGTAACAAGCCCGTGCAGCCCCGTTCTCTCCAGTGTCTCTGTGGTGATGGCTGTAACCAGTTTCTTACGTGCACTGGCGGGTTTGGGGAGTGCTGTCCTAAGGAGATCCCGCTGGGAAAAGCCGAGGAGCCGGTCTGGTCTGTACCATGCTTTGCCTTTGATAACCCCCTGACTCTTGGGTGTGCTTCGTCCTCACCGCGCCTGCTCTCTGCGCTACCCGGCTCCCGGCTGAGAGATGGCCACGCAACCGGCGTGCGCACTCCGGCGTCAGCCTCGGCGCCAAACGTCGCCAGCCTCGGCACCTCCACAGCTTTTCCTCGGCCGTCTGACCTTATCTAGCCAAACAAAGGCCAAAAAATGAGCATTTGAGAGACCAACCAAATTTGGCAGGTATGAAGCTTCTCTTGAACTGAGAAAAAAAAAAAAAAAGAAAAACCAAATTGAGAGTTGAAAGCAGCAGGGAACATGACACTTGGTTGACTTTGCCGTGAGCTCTTTCCACCACCATAAACCCATGTGGCGGACTTTGCAACTCTCTAACTGGTCTGGTTTTTTCATTCCTCTTATCTCTCTCCTTTTCTGTGTCCTTTTTTGCATGACCTATAACCAAAAAGCTGACTTCTCACTGTGCGTACGTTTGAATGTATGGCACATCTGCTAATCTTCTTCTAGAGGCATGAGCTAACACCGGTGGTAGCTGCCTGACTTCTAGTCTGGTTGTTCTTACATGTTCTTGTTATGTTTTTCCTTTTTATACTATTTTCTCTTCCTTTTTCACCTTTTTTCCTCCCTGTGAGACACTTTCTGTTGAGCCATCTTCCAAGAGAACTAAAACAAAAAAGTTTAAAAATGAAAAGCCCAACAACAGACAACACTAAACAAAATAACAAAACCAGGCAAAGGTCACGGCAAGGTCATTTCCAAAATTATGTCACCTTGATATCTGCTTCCAACTCTAGATTAATTCAAGGATCTACCAGTCCTTGGTTAATGTAACCAACCAGTTGTGTGGCGCACACATTTGAGAAAGTGGAAAAAACATTTTAGAAAAATTATTGAAAATGTTTTAGAAAATCTGCATGAGCTACACCGACACATAAATCTGATCAAAGGGCAAAAATAATTCTCCATCCATGCATGGTGCATGATGATTTCTATGAGCTGGGATCCTGTAAATTAATGTTATGCAAAATCAAAACAGCTCTGTATTGTTAAATGCCCTTAAGTTACTAATTGTATGTCAAATGTAATAGGAATTGCATCTGTGTATGTACATGTTCAGCTGTATGTATACATAAATTTATTATGTATATTGTAGATTTTCTTTTTTGTTGCTTTCCTCCTTAATTTAGTTATTTTAGATTTCCCTACATGTTGAACATCCCTGGGTTGCTGGCTTTGGCCTGATGTGATCTTTCCTTTCTATTGCAGAACCGCATGCATGAATCTCTGAAGCTTTTTGACAGCATCTGCAACAACAAATGGTTCACAGATACATCTATCATCCTGTTTCTAAACAAGAAGGACATATTTGAGGAGAAAATTAAGAAATCTCCACTGAGTATCTGCTTTCCTGAGTACACAGGTAATGAGAAATGTGGTCGTACAGGAGTAGAGCAAAGGGACCACAGAGCTCTCCCCAGCCAGGCTGATGCTGTAGTGTATCGCAGGCAACGAGGCTTAAGATGCAGAGCTAGAGCTCCCATTGGCTTCCCTGCAGGTTTTATTTCAGTACATGCCAAAGGACCACCCCCACCATGGTCCACTTAAAGCAGGAGGATGACTTGACCCAAGTTCTTTGCTGGCAAAGGGCCACCACCGCTGATTCAGGTGTCTGACCTCGGCCTCAACAGCGGGTTTGATGCCAGGCCAGCACCTGCAGGTGTGGGGCCACTGTGCACTCCCTGAACTTGTGTGCACTAGTTCCCTGTGTCACACAGAATCATGAACCTTCTTACAGGTCTCTCAGAAAGGTGCAGTGAGTGTAACCATTATAAATGGGTTACTGGTCTCCAGGAGATCAACACACGGGGTTTGTTAGGCTGTTGAGTTCAGCTTTGTTCTTTCTTTTCTTTTACCCAACCATGCTCCCTTATGGCCACAAGAAGAATCCCTCTGCAGTTCCTGACCACTTTCTCCACTTACAGGCTGCAGGGCTGTAGGATCATCATGATCCTGGAAATATTCATGTCCAGGCAGGATGGGATTCTCAGCAACCTGACCTGGTTGAAGATGCTCACTGCAGGGGGATTAGATTAGATGACTTTTAAAGATCCCTTCCAACCCAAACCATTCTATGATTCCATGATCAGCCCTCCAGCATGCAGACAGCAGGTCTCACAGCTTGGCTGCTTCAGCTCAAGCAATACATTTTCATCACATTAGTTGAAGAGTCCCCAGTTTTGTTCTCAGGTTTGCCAACGTCAAGTGTCTGGACATGAAAACACTTCCAGTTAAATGGAAGTAGAAAAGATTCTGATCTTCCCACACCTCTTAACCCATAGTGCAGACAGAGGAGAGCCACAGTGAGCCATACACTAAGTTTGGCTGGGGAGAAGGAGGCCTTTGTGATCCGTGGAGTTGAGAGTAGGAGCTCTGGGATGGGCAGTGTGCAAGAAGCCCCCGCTCCTGCTGCCTGCCTGGCATCTGACCTGCTAATGATGTGAATACATCACCCATGCTGCAGCTGCACCCCGCTGCTTCCCTCTGCATCTCGCCAGCTTCCACAAACCCTCATTACCATTCTGAGATGGCGCAAAAATAAACTTTTATCGTCATGAATTATTTAAACTCACTGGAGACATCCAGATGAATCAAGCCGACAGAGAGAGAAGCCAATCTCTTTGTCAGGAAACACGGTTGTGAACCAGGAGCACCAGGAGTGTCACAGTTCTGGGCAGGCCAGCAAATTATTAACCAGAGCTTCTTATCTCTGAGCACTCGATTTTTCACTGTGAATAGACAAAAGTGATCCTTCATGGCTGCTTTGGGCTGAATGGTCTGTGGCCATGGAGCTGAATAACTCCAGCGGACTTCAGAACATCTGCAGACTTCCTCTGTGGGGAAGATTTTGGTGTTTGTCACTACCAGCACATTTCAGCCATCTAGTCATCTGCTTGGTCCAGACAGAACCAACATATTCCCGACACATTTGTCTGAAAAGATCTAATCATGGAAATTTCAGTCTTTACAGCTGAGCTCACAATAATGCCTACCCCAAATTTTCCTGGTTGCAAATTAGATTGCTGCTTTTGGATGGCTTGTAGAGCAGCTCATCACCATCTTCTTTATAGTAGTGCTTCTGTATACTGGGTGGTTTCTGTCATGTCCTCTTCCCTTTTCTCAGTGAAGCAAACCGAAAGCAATTTCACCTCTCACTCCTTCCTGATCACATTTGTGCAGCTGGTTTTGTAGGTCTTCACTGTCATCTCCCAGAAACCTCAGTCTGAAATAGCATTCTTACAGAGCCCCTGATGTCAGAGAGCCTAGAATGAGAAGGAATGTCATTTTAGATATTCGTTCCCAAGGGATACCAGCCCAAGAGGGAAGTTCACTGTGGGAGGCAAACATTCATACACATGGAGCTAAGCTCTTGGCTGATTAAACAGAGGAAAACAAAGCTTCTATCTGGAGCACTTCAGCCACCAGTGAACCAAACCAATCTTCCCCAAGTCTCAGGGGACCCCGAAGGTACTCTAAATTCCTTCAAGATGCTTTTCTGGAAGCTGGGAGTTCTCACAACACCAGAGACCCTCAACAGATCTCCTGTCTCTCTTGTGCCATCAGAGAGGACAGGAAGTCTGACTGCTGAAAGTCCTTTTACTGATCCAAGAGGGACCTGAGGTAAGGAGTTATCTCACTCCCAGGTGTTCAGCAATGCTGTTAAAAGCTGGCTGTGCTAACATTCAGCCCAGGCTTTAGACCCAAGCACATTTCAGCCTGCTTGCCCCTGCTTTGCTGGCCACAGCCCACAGGATGAAACCCTCCTGGCCTCATGAAAAAGCAACATTATTAGAATGTTGCCCTGGAGTTAAAAATAATTATTTGATAAAAGCCTATGAACTGAACAAGCAGACTTTGAACATCACAAGTAGATTCCACAAAATGCTTTTAATGAAATGAAATTTCTGATGTCCATTAGTTCTGCTGACAGGGAATTATTAGAAGACTGCATCCACAAATTTGCCTGCTGTTTGCTGGAGCACTGTTTCCATCTCCTTAATTCACTCATGCTTTTAACTAATCCACAATACTTAGTAAAGCAGCAGCAGAATCCATGGCTTGATTTAAACCAAGCTGGCATTAGTGATTCACTGCTCTTGTACACAGAATCAAGCATCTAAATCCTCATGCCTTTGAACAACCAACTTCCTGTTCATAAAATACTCTCCTGGCTGTGCTCAGCATGTGGAACTGATTCTTTACACAGCTCTTCATGCAAGAATCTGCTCCCAGAAAAAACTTTGCTTCTCTTACTTCACGCTTATTCTCAAGTCCCATGGTCTTCGTGAATTTGTCTTCAACTAGCAGTGCATGTGTGTGCAAGTGGGATTTCCCAGAGCATCTGCCTTCCACCAAGCACATCTCCAGCCCCAGTAAGCTTCTCTCTAGCAAATAACAGCATTTCCCATCAGTAAAGCATCATGGAGAGAAAGAGACCCAAAAGCAGTAGCAGTGTTACTGCTGTGGAGTCTTTTGGGTGTCAGGCAGTGCCTGGCAGTGCTGGGAGCTGCACTCCAGGCCTGCCAGAGCCTTCATCAGCCTTAAGGAGGTGCCCAAGTGGAGCTGTGTGTGTGAGCAGGGTTGGAGCTGGCCAGAAGAGAAAGGATCTACTCATTTGCATGACTCCTTCTAAGCTTTTTGAACACTAAATTTGAGGGTTAATGAGGTTTGGCAAAGATGTCTCTATAAATCGAAACAAGAAACACCTCACAGCATGATTTTTAGTCTTGGCTGTAGCAGAAAATACTGCAATCCTAATTCCTAAAAAAAGGGACATTCTCTATCAGCCTTTTTGTTGGGTTTTGGGGTTTTTTTGAGAAAAGCCCATTTTGCCCTGTAACAGAGGTTGGATCTTTTTATGTCTCTTTCTCTTAATGATTTAAAGAAAGGAGGACACAGCTAACAATACTGCCCTCAATTCATATTAACTCTTACATCAAAAACTGAAGCTTTAATTAAAAAAAAAAAAATCTAAAAAAAGGAAAAAAGCTAAGCCTTTTCCCTAGGTCAAGCACTCAAGCACTTACTGTATTTCTGGCAGATTTCTTCTCTTTTTTGTCACCATGATGTGGAATTTCTTCCATCATAGCCTGTTTAACGCTCAGCTCCCTCATCCATGTCATCTCTGTAGACTATAAACAGCAACTCAGAATAAAAATACAGCTGAGCTGACAGTCAGGGGCATCTCCTGCCTGGCAGCAATCCCAGCTGGAAACGGTGCCCATCCCTGAGATGGAGAGAGGGCACCTGGGCTGCAGCAGCCCGCACAAGCTCCCCACATCCCCACTACGGGGTGTTTGCAGGCACCCTGCGGATTCCAAGTCGTGGGGTTGCTTTAACCCACTCTTTTTCCTTTCCCCTCGGCTCTCCTGCAGGCCCCAACGCTTTCACGGAGGCGGTGGCGTACATCCAGACTCAGTACGAGAGCAAGAACAAGTCCTCCAACAAGGAGATCTACACTCACATCACCTGTGCCACCGACACCAACAACATCCAGTTCGTCTTCGACGCTGTCACGGATGTCATCATCGCCAACAACCTGCGGGGATGTGGACTCTACTAAAGCACCCTCCTCTCCTGGCACCCGCCCGGAGTATCCTCCGGTCCCGCGGACAGGTCCTCCCTTTCCTTGTTTTTTTCCTCCTCAGAAGATGACAAGGAAGAAATACATAATTCCCTCCTCCTGTCCCAGAAAACTCTGCAGCAAGTTCTGCTTTCCCCAGACCTATTTTATTTTATTTTGGTTCATTTTTGGTTCATTCCCTTGCTGCCCCGTTCTACTCCTCCGTTCCAACTCACAGTGTTGTGCAGGGAGCTAACGCATTTCCCACAAAGTGCATTTCAACTGCCAAAAGACAAAAATACTTCAGTTTTAAAGAGAGAAAAAAATTAAAGCCTTAAAATACTGGTCAGTAACAGTGTAGTTTGGAACCAAAACTTTTTTTTTTGCCTTGAAAATTAAGGGATAATGTTCATTCTTATGGCTATTTGCCTTCTTAAAAACACTATTCCTTTGAGAAGTGCTAAATACAACCTGATCTTTTGAGGGTACTTTACAGCTCCAGTTCTGACCCCAAAGCTGGAGGTATTGAATGCAGCCACCATAGCTTGGATTTGTACATTCTCCTTTTTTCCAGACAGCTATTTGAACAAGTACAACAGCCATATCAAGTTCTGCTGGTGTCTGAGTAACAAAGCCTACTAAGCCTTGTCTAAAAGCATACATTACTGGTAGCAGTTTCAACTCAAGTTTTTCAAAATTAATGGTAAAATTTATCTAGTGGTTGCTGTAACCCATTTCTGAGACACTTCCATGGGGGCCATGGAGGTGCTGGGCTGGGACCCCTGGAGTGTAGGCAGTGAAGATGCCCCAGGAATGGTGTCCTGATGGAGACTCCACACTCGGTGGCAGACTGAGGACCTTTCCCACAGCACCTCCCACCCTTAGTCATTCAGCAGAGGTGATGCCCCTGCACACACACAGCATCACTTTCCAAGCTTCAGCCTTGAAATGCTGGGGTGCATGAAAAATATTTAGCCCAGCTTCTTGTAGGCAGAATCTGACCTTCAAGTCCCTGAGATGGGGAAAAGTGCTTTGGAAAACCTCCCCATGCTTGGGTAGCAGCAAAGTGTGCAAGAGCCTTGTGGCCCTTCATCACCCCTTGGGCATCTAAACCCCTTGAGAAGTCTAACCTTGTGCTCTGAGCCTCCTTGGCTGAGCACAAGCCAGTGGCTTTCCTGTGTCATCTCCTGTCTGAGCATCCCAGAGAGACGGCTCCAGGGCTGGTGTCTCCAGTCAGGGCACCTCTTTACCAGTATCTGCACTGAAATGGATGGTTAACAATAGCAAGGGAGAGCTCAGAGAGATGATTTGAGTCAAGTGATGGAGTAGGAAGGAAAAGTGCAAGGAAAGGAAGACAGAAGGGCAGGGGAAAGGAGTGGGAAAGGTGAGGGTAGCACCCAGCACAGCAAAACTGGGGACTCAGAGAGTCTCACAAATGCAGGTGGGCTGAGGTACATGTGGCCACCACCAAGAACACTGGGTGCTGCTGAATTGAAGGCAGAAGGGAATGTGAGAGGTGGGGTGTCACCTCTGTGGACATGGAGGGACTCTTAGAAGTCCACTCCAAAAGCTTGTTTGTTGTCTGCGTGAGACAACCACCTCTGAGGTCCCACTCAGGGCCCACCTCACCTGGGGGCAGGTGGGCAGTGTTGATCCCTGCCTCTTCTCTGCCTCTCTTAGAAGTCAATTATCTTGAAAAACATGAATCTTCGCAGGGTGGCCAGAAGTTCAACTGTCCTCTCTTGGGAGCCTGATCTAGGAGTGGCTTTCAGGTCTCAGGAGGTCTCCTCAGGGCTGTGGTTGAGGGAGACAATATCTCTTCTCACAGTGCCCATTTAGGAGAGATGGTGTGAGAGCAGCCCAGAGGGGAGGGGCCAGGTGAGTGTACAGGAGGCAGTGACAGGAACACATATGGTGGCACAGAAGGGTGAGGACAGTGGGAGAGGCTTAGGGAACGTTTTGGGAGAGAAGCTGCAGAAGAAGGGAGACGAGGCAGATTGAGGCAGCAGAGAGGATGGGAAGAAAAGGGCAGCTGGGAGCCAGAGGAGAGTCCCCATCAGGGACTGTGCTCTGCCAGGATAGTGCTGGGAAGGCCTGCAGAGGAAAACGAGGAGTCTCACCCATCCAGCCTGCTACAGCCCAGCATGGCTGGTAACTGTCAGTAACCCCTAGAGAGCATTAAATGATGAATTTACTATTGTACAGCAAGGACCTGCTGCTGCTCTGCTGGGCACTAACAGCAATAACACAACTCCCTGCCTCTCTGCTGTGGTACAAGCCAGCACCCACCATTCTCTTCACCATCTCAGCCTTAAAATGTCTCCAATGATATTGGCTCCTGCAAAGAGCTGGCCAGCAAAACCAGGAGCTCCTGTCTGCTCCTCATGTCACAGCCCACCCACACATCTGTCTGAGCCCCAGCAGAAACACCCAGCATCCACATGGATGTTGTGTCAAACCCAGGGCAGAAAAACCACACATTGGTTACATTTGGTATGTAATGTGTGTAACCACTGGACCCAGAGTGATGATGGCTGGTGCTGGCAGGGATGCAGGTCTTTCATTAAACTCCGTAAGAAGAATTTGATCAGAAGCACTGGAGTTTTGGAGATTTTCTGTTCCCACCTCTTGCTGTGAATGATGTTTTATCTAAGCAAATAATTAACAGAAGCTGTTCCCAGGGAAGACAGCACCACACCAAGGCTTCATGAGCTCCCAGCATAAAGCAGACAGAAATATTTTGGTAAAGACAATTTAAATTAACTCTGAACTGCCAAATGCAGTCAAGTGGCCAGTGCTGGCTCAGTGTGCTTTTACCACTCTCCAGGCTGGATTCAGGTAACTCATTCCCAGCTTTGCCAGCCAGGAGGTCCAAGCCCCTCTGCATCTCCAGCAGGTCCCTGGCACGTTGGTGACCATCAACAGCTGGTGCCCCATGGGGAGAAAAGGGAGAAAAAGCAGAGGAAATGTTGCCACACAGAGCCTCTTCTTTCATTTTCTTTGGCATATTGTGTGTCCAAAGCTACATCTCAGCTGCTGCTGCTGACATTCCCTCCCTCACACAAGTGTCATGAGGATTCACTGACAAATGCTGGAAACAGCCTTTGGAAGATGAAATGCTTCCAGTGTTAAACATTACTACTTCTCCCTCTTGATGGCCGCACATAGATTTGTGTCTCCAGAACGCCTGCCAAATTATTACTCACTGCTGGCTTCTGCATCCTCTGAAGCCCTTCCTGACAGATGTGCCTTCCACAGGCAATCTTTTGCCCTGTGCTTTTCCTAAACACCAGCAATTCTTGCAGCAGTTGCCTAAAAAGTACCTTGAAATACATCACCTGCTTTCAAAACCCTTTTCTTAGCAGCCCTTTGTGCTTTGCAATTGCCATGCTCTGAATCCCTTGGAGATCCAGAGTTGTGTTTCATTTGCATAGCAGAAATCCTAGCAGGGCACGGAGCATAGATTTTGAAAGCACAAAATTGAAACAGCTATTTATACATCCTGCTGCCCTTCAAAGCTAATGTGGGAATTTGCAAAAAAAAATAAAAAAAATAAAAAAAAATACCACCAAAAAAGCCCTTTTTAGGACTCAGTCACTGTTCCAGCAGCAGAAGCATCCAAGGGGTGTCAGCATTGAAAGTAGCATTAGCAACTCATGATGAGCTTCAGACAGCAGCAGAAAGAAAGAGGGAAGCTCCCTGTCGACTTGCTCCGTAGTCAGTGGTCTGTTGTGGAGCCATGAGACCACAAAAATGCAAATAGCTTCTTTATTTAAACAACAATTTCAATGAAATAGAGACACCCGTGCAAGGAAAGTCTTGCAGTGCTGCCGGGCTGTGCTGCAGAGCTCCTTGTGAGGATAAACTGGGCTGGTTGGGAGAGCGAGCAGTAACCACGCACTGGGAAAGCACACGCTAAAATACAGCCCCAGACTGCCAAAGGCAGTTTTTAGTCTTGCATCTAGAAGTCGCACACGGTGTGGTTTTCACAGGGGGCCGGAGGAGCCCGGCGGAGCGGCAGCACAGCGGGAGCGCTCAGCGCGGCCATCTGGCCCTGCCTGTGCATCCCCGCTGCCCTGCCCTCCGCCGCGCCTGCACGGGCACAGCCTGCCCCGAAACGCTGCCAGATACGGCTCTCTCAGGAGTTTTGTACCGGAATTAGTTTGCCTTCAGCCAGCTTTCCTGGATGGCCAGCCAGCCTGTCCCTCCACGGAGGGGAGAGCAGCCTCTGGAGGAGCCCGCCGTGCCTCCTCTATTGATGTGATTTTGTTTTACAGGACACTAAAAGTATTAATGAGGGCGGTCTTTAATGTCCATTAAAACATATCTGGTGGGTTTAATCTATCATGGCATGAGCCCAGTGCCTGCCTGCAAGGGAACAGACCTTGTTCTCTGTCCAGGAGTGCAATCTCCGAGAGGTCAGGATGTGACATAGAAGATGTCCTTTTGCAGAAGGTCCCCGTGCACCCTGCCTCGCTGTGCAGCTCAACAAGGCAGACATCGCCCCTGGGGGATTTGCAGTCAGTGCTGGGAAAGGGACCAACCCTGCACTGTTAGTTTGTGTGACATGTCCCAAGCTTTTTGTGGTCACAAAGTCTCCTGGAGCCAGGGAGAGTTGCTGAGTTCCTGGGAAGAAGGCTGACCATCTGTCAAGTCAATTAGAGAAGCTTAGTTCGAGTGTGCTTGGGTGTTTTCATGGTTTGTCTTCAGGCTTACCACCAAAAACTCCACTACCATTTCCAAGGAGACTGAAACACTCGTTAGTGATCTGGCACTGGACACATGAAGGTCAGTAGAATTGGTGTTACTGAGCACCACCCTGAGCACCCAGACCCATCACTCACTCGCATCCGCAGTGCACACATGAGAAAGCAGAGACCAAGTGGCACAAAATTGCAGGCGCAGTCTTGCCTCTACCTCCCTGCTGGAAAGAGCAGGCAAACGCACCCCGAGGCTCTCTGAGACCTGAGGTTACCGTGTCATTTCTGAGCTCCAGCACT